TTCAAGTCACCTATCAGCCTATGGCAATTCCATGAATTTCATAGGGTTTTCTTAGGCAAGGGATACGCAGAGATGGTTTTGCTAGTTCCTTCCTCTGAAATGTAGCCTAGAACATCTGGTATTCCCCATCCAGGTACTAACCAGGGTTGGCCCTGGTTTTTTTCCCCAAGATCAGATGGATCTGGTGCCTTTAGGGTAATGGGCATATGAAAGGACAAAAGAAAAGCTGGGGTATTTCTCATTTAGTCCTTTCTTACTAAAGTTTTAGATAATGTGCTCTAGTATCTAAAGCCAAGATGGAGAATCTTGTCACAGCTCCCATAATCCCCTTAGCAATGGCTAGTTAGGGTTGGTAGGGCGTTGCAGTCCAACAATATCTGGAGAGTCATTACTGGCCCACCCCTTGTAAGGCTGCTGGTTCCAGTCTAAAAATTCCCCAGCATCCACCCCTGAATGTAAAAGAATGTAAGGAGAAGGTGGCTAGCTTATTTTGTGAACCACATTGGAGACATGAATGAATACTATGGTGTTTCTTCTGTGTTGGAAGTGTATACAGGTCAGTTTTCAACATTTTTATATTGATACTTCAGTTGTAAGTCATCTACAGTTGCAGGGAGTATATAGGGAACAAGTCCTGCTACTGCTGTGGACAGAGCAAAGTTTGTAATCTCTATCACCTAATTCCAGATTGTAGAAATGCCCCCAGTGCAGAATTAGATATGCCATTCTGGTTTGTGTCTTCCTCTTAGTCATTCTTGTAACAAAAAGTTTATCTGGTTCAAGTGTTTCTGCTCCCTTAAAAGCCACTGCCATTTTTACTTGCTGCACAATATACTTAAAACTGCTTCCCAGACTTTGTGTGTTACTCTGACTCTTCAAGACGCAGATTTTTCTGTGCAATCTTCAGTTGAATGACCTAGTAAGTTACCATGCCCTACCCACCCCAAAAACTGTAACCAAGCTAAAACACATGTAGGTGAACCACCTATTTCTCATTTCTTCCCTTTCTTCTGTTTCCTTTGGCAGATTTGGAAGCACCTTTGGACAGAGACCACTGTACTTTGCAGAGCACCCTACACACTGATATTGCTCTATTTATGATGAAGGTATTAGGGCAGTATCACATCCTTGTCTGTGTAAAAGGTGCTTACAAAATATATACTAAATTTCATTTTCAGAATCTTGAATTTGTCCTCTTTGGTGCCCACAATGCACAATTAAGTATGGATAAAATCCAGGTTCCAAGTAGGAAGTTATCTGTGGTGACCCATCTGGACAAAATGAGTTGAGAAACCTTGGGGTAACACACTAATTGCAGGATGTGAAATTTTGTTTGGTTGGAGGGTTGCATTGATGGCTGGGGGATTTTGGTTTGGGGACTGCACGTATAGGACCAGGACATGTAGTAGGGATCTGTAAGACCAGGACAGGCAGTCACACTTGGCTCCCCATTTATTTTTGTGTAAATGCAGGAGCAGAAATAGCACACACAGATCTAGACAGAAATACATAACAGCTTCCTGCCAACAGCCCAGTCAGGGGTGCTGTTTTCTGCTGCTGTCAACAGTGTTGGCATCCCAATCTGTTTTCCTGGACAGTACAGAAGTACAGAAAAGCAGATAAGACTTCATGGACCACACAGGGCTATTTAAGGGTCACAGTTTGTCTACCCTGTCCAATAGGTAAACTGTTTCTTGTGAGAAGGAAGCACCAAGTAGGAATGGAACAAATTATGTGTTGAATGTGCTAATCAACAGGAAGCCAGGATTATCTAGAATATCATGCAAACTCAGGCAGAGAATGTGTTTACCCCAGATATCTGAAGATCTTAGGATACAGCTGGTGTAAACTCACTACTTTTATGAAAATGTAGTCTTTGTTGAAAAATTGAGCTGTGTTGCTCTGTTACATGTGTGCCTGGATTTATTTACTTTTTTATTTGCCTCTTTCATGCCTAAATGTGACAGTTTAGTCCGTTTCTTTAAAGATGCTCATCACAAGCTCCAAAAAGGTGTCTTTTGAGTAATTTACTAACATGATTTCTTTAAACAAGAACATTCTGATATTCTTAACTTTTATCAGTATCTACAGTGTGGGTGGAAAATCTAACATATTGCATTGAA